CTAGTGCGACTACTACTACTACTACTACTACTACTACTACTACTACTACTACTACTACTACTACTACTACTACTACGGCGACTACTACTCCTACTACGACTACAACCACGACTTCTACGACGACGACGACTACGACTACTACTACTACCGCCACTACCGCTACCACTACCACCACTACTGCTACTACTACCACTACTACCACCACCAGTACTACTACTACTACTACTACTACTACTACTACTACTACTACTACTACTACTACTACTACTACTACGATTACTACGACTACTACGACTACTACGACTACTACGACTACTACTACTACTACTACTACTACTACTACTACTACGACTACTACTACTACTACTACTACTACTACTACTACTACTACTACTACTACTACTACTACTACTACTAGTACTACTACGACTACTACGACTACGAATACGACTGTTAATATTGATAGTGGTCGACGACGACGACGACGACGGACGACGACGACGACGACGACGACGACGACGACGACGACGACGACGACGACGACGACGAGACGACGACGGTCGACGACGACACGACCTGCCGTCCCTGACGACGACGACGACGACGACCGAGACGACGACGACGACGACGAACTACTACTACTACTACTACTACTACTACTACTACAAACTGTGACACACCACCACAGACACCACTCACCACCACCACCACCACCACCACCACCACCCACCACACCAACCACCACTACTACACTACTATACTACTTACTCTAACGTACCTACTACCTACTACTACGACTACCACCACCACCACCACGACTACTACGACTACTACGACTACTACTTACTACTACTACTACTACTACTACTACTACTACTACTACTACTACTACTACTACTACTACTACTACTACTACTACTACTACTGCTAGTGCTAGTGCTAGTGCTACTACTACTACTTATACTAATAATTACGCTACCGAGGAACCCCACATACTTATATTATGGCTGGAGTGATGATAGCTGAAGTGAAGCATGTGAACATGATGTTGGTGGCCGTTGCCCCGCCGATACCGTTGGAGACGTCACTCAAGAGGAGAGGTGGAAAGGAGAAGCGCCGCGCCAGCCACTTTGCGAGCCCGAAACAGATAGCGACCGCACCCCCTTGTGGCGTCGAGAAAAAGCCACGCCTGCCACGCTTTGCGAACCCGAAACGGATAGCGACCGCACCACTGGCGCACATCGAGAAAGTACCGCGCCTGCCTCGCCTTGCGAGCCCAAAACGGATAGCGACCGTACCCCAAGCACACCCCCTTGCGGCGTCGAGGAAATGTCACGCCTGCCACGCTTTGCGAACCCGAAACTGTTAGCGACCGCGCCCCCAGCGCACCCCCTTCGGCGTCGAGAAACTGCCATGCCTGCCACGCTTTGCGAGCCCGGAACGGATAACGACCGCACCCCCAGCGCACCCCCTGTGGCGTCGAGAAAATGCCACGCCTGCCAACGCTTTGCGAAGCCGAAACGGATAGCGACCCCCTGCGCACCCCTTCTGGTGTCGAGAAAGTGCCACGCCTGCTGTGCTTGGACGACCGTCGTGCATAGCGGCCGCGCTCAGGGACCACCCCCTGCGCACCCCCTATGGTGTCGAGAAAGTGCCACGCCTGCTGTGCTTGGACGACCGTCGTGCATAGCGGCCGCGGTGAGAGACCACCCCCTGCGCACCCCCTCTGGTGTCGAGAAAGTGCCACGCCTTATGCCTGGACGACCGTCGTGCATGGCGGCCGAGCTCAGGGACCACCCCTTGCGCACCCCCTCTGGTGTCGAGAAAGTGCCACGCCTGCTGTGCCTGGACGACCGTCGTGCATAGCGGCCGCGCTCAGGTACCTCCCCCTGCGCACCCCCTATGGTGTCGAGAAAGTGCCACGCCTGCTGTGCGTCTGGACGACCGTCTAGCATAGCGGCGAGCTCAAGGAACACCCCTCTGAGCACACCCCCCTTATGTGTCGAGAAAATTGCACGCCTGCTATGCCTGGACGCCGTCAGTGCATAACGGGCCCCCCCCCTTGTTGTTTTAGCTCACAGGGACCACCGCCTGCACACCCCCATGGTGTCGAGAAAGTGCCACGCCTGCTGTGCCTGGACGACCGTCGTGCATAGCGGCCGAGCTCAGGGACCACCCCCTGCGCACCCCCTGTGGTGTCGAGAAAATGCCACGCCTCCTGTGCCTGGACGACCGTCGTGCATAGCGGCCGCGCTCAGGGACCACCCCCGGCGCACCCCCTGTGGTGTCGAGAACGTGCCACGCCTGCTATGCCTGGGCGACCGTCGTGCATAGCGGCCGAGCTCAGGGACCACCCCCTGCGCACCCCCTTTGGTGTCGGGAAAGTGCCACGCCTGCTGTGCCTGGACGACCGTCGTGCATGTCGACCGAGCTCAGGGACCACCCCCTGCGCACCCCCTGTGTGGTTGTCGAAATTGCCACCGCCTGCTGTGTCGGGGACCTCGACCGTCGTCAATAGCGGCCGCGCTCAGGGACCACCCCCTGCGCACCTCCTATGGTGTCGAGAAAGTGCCACGCCTGCTATGCCTGGACGACTGGCACGGATAGCGGCCGCGCTCAGGGACCACCCCTTGCGCACCCCCTTATGGTGTCGAGAAAGTGCCACGCCTGCTATGCCTGGACGACCGTCGTGCATAGCGGCCGAGCTCAGGGACCACCCCCTGCGCACCCCCTATGGTGTCGAGAAAGTGCCACGCCTGCTGTGCCTGGGCGACCGTCGTGCATAGCGGTCGAGCTCAGGGACCACCCCCTGCGCACCCCCTCGGGTGTCGAGAAAGTTCCACGCCTGCTGTGCCTGGACGACCGTCGTGCATAGCGGCCGAGCTCAGGGACCACCCCCTGCGCACCCCCATGGTGTCGAGAAAGTGCCACGCCTGCTGTGCCTGGACGACCGTCGTGCGTAGCGGCCGAGCTCAGGGACCACCCCCTGCGCACCCCCTGTGGTGTCGAGAAAGTGCCACGTCTGCTGTGCCTGGACAACCGTCGTGCATAGCGGCCGAGCTCAGGGACCACCCCCTGCGCACCCCCTGTGGTGTCGAGAAAGTGCCACCCCTGCCACGCTCTGCCGTGCCGTGCCCTGCGCGCCTGCCCGGTGTGCTATGCTGTGCTGAGCTGTGCTG